TTAGGTCGTCCAGTGCAGTTTTGGGACGATTGGCTTGTGCATGAAGTAGTCAGCAAACTAGCATTCGAGACGCGAAAGCAGTGGGAGCTATCACTCGTGAGTGATGAGCCCCCGACGTTCGAACAATTGTCCACATTTTTAGAAGTCAGGTGTCGATCTCTGGTTATGCTTTCTTCGTCAGCTACAGCAGTACCTCCGAAAGGCAAAACGTCTTCAGTGAGCAAATCGACAAAAGTGTTTCACGCAGTGCAAACCCAAAATAGCTCGAGCTGTACATATTGTAATGGGCCGCATAAAATATACAGTTGTGAGAAGTTTCGCGATTTAATCGCAAACGATAAATCAAAATTCATTAAAGACTCGCGCGTGTGTACGAACTGCCTCAGCTCAGGCCATTACAAAGCGAAATGCAATAGCGCGTCCGCATGCAGAGTTTGCCATCAACGCCATCACATATTGCTACATAATACCGCTTCTTCAGCCAATGTCGCAACAAGCGCTCATTTGGCCAACAACGTAGCTGCTGCTACCGCAGCCAAACGCAACTACTTCTCCTGTTTGTGATCCTTCCGCACACACTGCTCCCGCAGGCATTTCATCGTGTTTGAATTCAAATTCAAACTCACCGCAACGAAAAGAAAGGACGGTACTATTGGCAACCGCCTTCGTCAAAGTGCGCGATTGTTCCGGTCACTGGCAACCCGCTCGCTTGTTGTTCGATTCTGGCTCGCATGCCTCCTTCGTAACCGAGGCGCTAGTGCAACGTTTGGGTCTACAACGAAAGGCGTCTGCAGTTTTCATCACTGGAATTGGGTCGTCGCAAGGAGGTCGTTCAAGAGGTGAGGTACTACTTTCCCTGTCATCCTTTTGTTCAGGTCAATGTTTTAATGTCAACGCGTTGATTTTACCAAAAATCACGAGCGAATTGCCGACACATCCATTAGCAGTTTCAGTTTGGCCGCATGTACAAGGCTTGTTCCTTGCCGATCCGCAATTCACGAGGCCTGGGCGTATCGACATCTTGATAGGTATGGATGTCATGGATTAGCTTCTTTGCTCTGAGTTCCGTAAAGGTCCACCTGGCACGCCGATGACTCAACGTACAGTCTTCGGTTGGACGCTGTTTGGCAGTGTTGATGGAATCGAATCTGCTCCGTCGCATCTGCAGTCGATGCATTGCAACGTTCATCTGGACAGAGCGCTTACCCGATTGTGGGAGCTGGAAGAAGCACCACAAAAGACCCATCTCACTTGCGAAGAGCGTCATTGTGAAGAATTTTTCGAAGCAACGCACCGCAGAGCACCGGACGGTCGATTTATAGTTGAGCTGCCACTAAAATCTGATGTTCCATTGGGAGATTCGCGAAATAATGCTGTTCGAAACCTACTGCGAATTGAGAGAAGACTTGCACGGGACGAAGACTTACGCCAGCGCTACAATGAGTTCATGCAGGAGCTCATCGAGATGAAACATATGGAGCTTGCACCAGAATCATCAAACCAGACGTTTTACATGCCGCACCATCCTGTTGTAAAGGAGTCCAGTCTCACGACTAAGCTAAGGGTTGTGTTCAACGCATCCGCTAAATCTGCCACCGGAAACTCGTTGAATGACGCCTTATTTGTAGGTTTTCAATTGCAGCAAGATTTGTTTTCGATTCTAACGCGTTTCAGAACGCACCGCTATGCAGTAACCGCGGATATCGCAAAAATGTACCGCCAAGTCTGCGTATCGCCGAAACATGTAGACTTACAACGAATTGTCTGGCGTCGTGATCCATCTTTGCCCATGCAGGATTATCGAATGTTGCGTGTGACTTACGGTGTGGCAGCTGCGTCCCACCTTGCAGTCAAATCGCTACAACAAACCGCAAAATGTTCGTCGAACGTTTCTGAGAAAGCTGCTTCCGTCATCCTCAATGATTTTTACATGGACGACCTCCTCACTGGTACAGCTTCCAAAGCAGAGCTGCTACTTTTGCAACGAAACATATCCGGAATACTCCAGCAAGGTGGCTTTGAGGTCCGAAAGTGGGCGTCGAACTGTGCGGAGTTTAGCGAATATATTTCGAACGCGTCGAAGACTATATCGCACTATCTAGTCGAGGGTAAAGATGTTCACGCTTTGGGCTTAATGTGGAACACCGAGGACGATTTCTTGACGTTCACAGTTAACATGACAAAACCGCCCGCTGCCTTAACGAAGAGAACTTTTTTATCGGATGCCAGCACGCTTTTCGACCCGCTGGGACTGCTTTCTCAAGCGACGATAAGATCAAAGATGTGGTTTCAGGAGATCTGGCGCCATAACGTTGGTTGGGATGACCTTATTCCTGACTCCATTGCAACAAAATGGTTGGAGCATCGATCGGAGCTGAAGCTACTTTCAAATTTCGCTGGCTTGGTCTAGGAACGACTGGGTCGCTCACAGAGCTTCATATATTCGCTGACGCGTCTGAACGCGCGTACGCCGCAGTTATGTACGCACGCACCGTGAAAATTGACGGCAGTGCCACCGTCGCGCTGATTTCATCAAAAACCAAGGTAGCACCGCTCAAAACAACAACATTGCCGCGACTAGAGCTATGCGCTGCGCATTTAGCCGCTAAACTAGCACGAAGCGTTCTGCACAGTTGGGGTGACCTCCGCTATCCGCTGTATGCATGGACAGACTCCACCATCACGTTGGCGTGGCTACAAGCTCATCCTAGCAGATGGATTACCATCGTCGCAAACCGCGTGGCTGACGTTCAAGAAACCCTGCCTCCAGAGTGCTGGAACCATGTTCGCTCAGAGTTGAATCCAGCAGATTGTGCCTCGCGAGGTATAACCCCGTCTGAGCTACTGCGTCAACAGCTTTGGTGGACTGGTCCTGAATTCCTGAAGGGTCCAGACCAGTTCTAGAAGCAAACATCACCAAAGCATCACACGACCGACTTGGGTGTTCGGAGCAAGGTTTCTGCTCACATCACGACTTCCAACGAGCCTTGGTCGATACTCACGAGGGTTTCGTCGTATTCGAAGCTGCGCCGTATTATCGCCTACGTTTTGAGGTTTTTCGTCAACGCTCGAGCTAGTACTCGACTCAACGCTGCTAAGCTATTTGGCCCTCCTAGTTGTAAGGAGATAGCCGAATCTGAGCTGCACTTGATCAGGTATACGCAAACATTATATTTTCCTAACGAAATTTCTCTTTGCAGCGCAAAAAGGCCGATTCCGCTTCGTAGCAGTCTTTTGCGTTTGCAACCATATCTGGACGAAAAAGGCGTCTTGCGCGTTGGCGGCAGACTGAAGAATGCTGAAGTAACCCCTGACGTGAAGCACCCCATCGTCTTGCCAAAGAATTCTCCGCTTGCGAAGTTGATCATCCGTGAAATACACGAGTTCACACTACACGCTGGGCCCCGCATTATGCAGACAGTCCTGCAACGCCGATATTGGGTTATTGGCGCCCGCAGCTTAATTCGCAGCATTTACCACAAATGCGTGAAATGCACCCTGTTGAATCGCAATTTCGCCACACAGTCTATGGGAGACTTGCCCGCAGCTCGAACTACGTATGCCCGTTGTTTTACACGTGCCGCCGTCGATTTCGCTGGGCCCTACAAATACAAATTCACCCATGGGAGAGGAGCGAAGGCTACCAAAGGCTACATATGTTCATTCGTATGTATGTGTACTGGCGCAATGCATTTAGAATTTGTTGGAGACCTGTCAACACTAGGGTTTCTTAATGCTTTCAAGAGGTTCATAAACCGCAGAGGTTATTGCAAGTTTATGTCGTCCGACAATGGCACAAATTTTGTTGGCGCCGAGAAGGAGCTGCGGTTTGCCTTTCAAAAGTGCATGGCCGATACCCGACTCCGTTCATTTTTCGCGGACTCCAAAATCGAGTGGCGTTTCAATCCCCCGTCTGCGCCTCACATGGGAGGTTACTGGGAAACTGGTATCAAGCGAATAAAGTATCACCTTAAACGCGTACTGGGTGAAACTCTTCTGTCTTATGAAGAGTTCTACACGCTGTTGACAGAAGTAGAAGCTTGCGTAAACTCCCGCCTGCTCTGCGACAACTCTACATCTGCTGATGACCTAGAAGTCTTAACTCCCGGTCATTTCCTGGTCGGTGAACCGCTCAAATCACTCCCAGAACCTGAGGGTCAAGGGTTCTGTGGCAGTCTTCGTCAGCGATGGCAAGCGATCTCTGCTATAAGACAGCATTTCTGGCGACGATGGCGAGACGAGTACCTTTTCAGTTTACAGCGTCGCTCCAAGTGATTTCGTTCTTCACGCAATGTCGGAGAAGGCGATGTGGTCACAATTTTCAACGAGCCTACTCCGCCGACAAAGTGGACGCTGGCAAGAGTTATAAAATGCCACCCCGGTACAGATGGACTCGTACGAGTGGTCACTTTGAAGACGCCAAATGGCGATTTGGTTAGACCAATCGTGAAACTTTGTGTTCTGCCGACGAAAGGCGACTTGTTCTGCGAAGAAGATCCGTAGACGTGAAATATGCACATAGGCATTAAGTCATGCCTTTTAGTATTTTTTGCATTGTTAGTTAATTTTCTTAATTTTCCATACTATAATTGTAATTTCAATGTTGAACTTATCACGGCTAGTTCAAGGGCGGCGGTATGTTGGGTTCACTTACGCTAATTGTAAGGTTTTGGTATGATTGTTTACGACATAAGGGTTAATGCACAAGTCTACACAAAAGTAGCGATTGTAATCTGATATTCCTCTTTTTTCTTTGTTCGTAACACTGAACTATAACTAGCTTATAAGATCTTATTAATCTCTCGCTTAAGTGTAGTTTTTCGTTTTGGTATTCTCCCGCTTGCACGTTCGCCGCCGCTCAGTAACTTTTCGCTAGTATTACCCGCATTTTTATATTAGTAAAAACCCGCGCCTGAATATTTAGCTACATTAGTTTAAGTCAATTAAATAAAAGGAACTGAATTCCGAGATACTCCGCGTTTTATTTGGACATCTCGTTTAAAGGGAACCCGCCGCACCAGTCTTAATGATTCATTTGTCCTTAAAGCTGAGCTTGATATGGTTAAGGTGACCAGAATTTTTTAGCATTCCAGGAGGACAAATTCTCCATATTGAAAACAGAAAAAAAAATTTTATATTATTTATTTTAACACATAAATAACGAATAGTTAACATTGTTAAAAAAAGCAAAAACAATTCAAAGTTGCACTAAACACAAGTTAAACAAGTCAATAGTACACGGCGTTGCATAATTATAAGACCGAAACATATTGCCGTTGCTTTTTGGCAATTTTTTTTTTGTTGTGTTGTTCATTTTCTTCCATATAAAAAAAATTTCGAACATACTTTGTATGGAAGAAAATGAGTAACACCGTGAAAAAAATTTCAAAAATCAGCGTTAGTTTGTACCCATATGAAACTCGCACTTTTCCCTAAAATTGCATGGGCTATAAAACTGCATACGCAAAACTTTTCCCGAAATTCTTAAAAAAAAAGTGTAAAATTTTGGTGAAAATTCGCTGAATTTTTATAACTATAATGAACTATGTTTTTATAAGAAAATAATTGAAATTAAATAGTATAAAAACAAATAGTCAAAACTTTTTAATATGTGGCGGTCTTATCAATATGCAACGCAGTGTAGTAATGTCATTACTAATGGGCAAAGTCAAAATTTGGAAAGATTTCTGTGTATTGATGGATACTTAGATTTCAATAAATTTCATATCGATATAACGAAGTTGAGACACAGTAAAACTCCCTGTACATATATGGTATTTTAAGCTACTGCTTCACCAATTTCTATGGCATGAGAACATTTCATTTCACAGCTTACGACACAAATATCTTTCCAAATTTTTACTTTGACTGTCTAACAAAAAAGAAAAAATAACATGAGATCAAAATTTCTCAGAAGAATGGATTTTCTTCAACAAACCATCATTATCTTTTAATAAATTATAAAATGACATACAATCTAAATTAATATTACATTTAACAGTTATCATTGCCGCTAAAGTTTTTACATCGAGTCTTGACTTTTCACTAGTCCATATATCATTACATATTGAAAATACTCTTTCAACATTGGCGTTTGTGCCCGGTGCGATTTATACTAATATTTTGACATTTTGAAATGGTATATGCTGTTTTGTAAAAAGGTAAATATATGAATCCATTTTGTATCAACCTCTTCGTCAGCTTTTTCTACCAATATATCTCTCAAAACATTATTTATTCTTCCTACTTCATCAAATAGCAAATTGTCATCAATTACAATGCCTAATTGGTTTTTACAGAAATCTAAGGTTTTTAATATGTATTCCCACTCGATTTCATTTTTTAATAAAACCCAATCGAACAAAGATGAGTAATTGTCGTGCTTGGTCCTATTTTCTAAATATTCAATAGCAGTTTTATAAAACTTTTTTACTTCCAAGTTAAATTTTTGCTTAATTTCTGAATTGTTTTTACACAATTTGTTTAAATTGGACTGGACAATTAATGGCAAAAAATTGCATTCATAGCGTCGTTTTAGTTGTTCTTTTAAAATGGCAAAAAATTGCATTCATAGCGTCGTTTTAGTTGTTCTTTTAAAATATTGCAGTGAGAATTAACTTCAGTTGATGTAATGTTTTCTCTTTCAATCTTTTTTATCAATGAGTGAAACATAGTGGCTTGACTGTGAATAAATAAAAGAATTGTTTCAGCACATTCATTCAAAAAGAAGTTTTTTATATTAAGAGGGCATTTAGCCAAATTCAAAAAAGTATGTCTTTAATGGTTCAAATAATTTTAAGACTAGTTCAATTGCTGGGGTTAGCGCTAGCCACCTTGTTTTTGAACACCCCAACAATTTTTGGTAAACATCTGAGGCTTCTTCGCAAAATCCTTTCAACGCAGTAACCCTAACAGTAAAGCGCTCAAAATGCAAATAAATTTGTACTATTATAAATTCAACATCGATACTCATTAAACTAGAAGCAATATTTAAGGCATTTGAAAAAATATGGGCATTGCAACCAATTCCAAGGAGCGTTTTTCACATAAATGCATTAATTTTTTATGAACATTATTAGCACCATTACGATTAATTCCTCCAAAATTTGTATTTGTGTTATCAGCACATATTGCAATTACTTTACTTTGTAGGTTGTTGATATTAGGTGCGTTCGACAAGTCAAAAATTTGTAATAGTTTTCAAATTTTTACTGGATGGCGTTCGATAACGACAAAAAATTATCCAACACACAAAAATTGAGAGAGCAAGCGTTCATTTTGATGCAAGAGAAGCGTTCATTTTGTACTGGCAAAATTTTAGTCAGCAAAAATTATCCAACACGAAAACATATGATCACAAAACATATGATCACAAAACATATGGTTGCAATTTTTGTAAACAAACCAAAT